GTATAGTGCAGAGCCGCTGTCAATTTTTCCATAATACGGAGGTCATCTACTTTTTGAAGCCAAAGCCTCTGGGTGGGAGGATCAGCGCCCTTTCAGAACAGAGGTATGAGAGCTCTAGCGGCATTGACTAGGTGGCTCAAAAGAGAATGGCAGTAGCGGGTCCTGTATGGGGGAGATAGATGAAGTAAGGCTGCAAGATGATCCCCGTAAGTTATCGTATAATGCAAAGGAGTGCTTCCTATGAGTCTCTAATGCGGGGATATGACCAGAAAATGTGGAGAATTTTGCTGGCTTCTAGACCTCGCCTCCAACAAATTGGGGAGGATTGAGGGAACATTTTGTTGAGCCAAACTGGGACATGATACCACCTGGGGAGAATCTTATATCCTGTTTCCTGAATCACACTGGCAACAGAAGCCTTTTGAGAAAAATGGAGAATGTAATCCTTTTGGTCCTGAGTGAAGGTGGTTTCCACATGCCTCTCCCGTTTTAGCAACACAGGAGGTGACAGATCTGTGGTGTGTAATAGAACATGGGCCTTGGACAAGCCATGTGCTACATACTCACTCAACAAACAGATTTCCTCAAAGGTGGACAAATCTGACCTCGGAGTAGCAATGCCTAGAAGACGAGTTAGGAAGTGATGCAGTTGCATTGCTTACCACTTCCATAGGGTAAGGTGGGGAAGGGGAAGCATGACTGATAAATCCATAAGAGTAAATGTCCCATTGGGGGACCATAAGGGCTGGTTCACACTACAAAGTCAGCGTTCCAGTGCGTTCGGCCACTGGAACGCAAGCCGGCCGTCTCCCTGCGTCCCATGCCCGCAGTGCGATTGCCCGCAACCAAAACGCAGGCACATTAGTGCTTGTGTTCCCGTCCAGTGCGTTCTGCAAAAATAGTGCTTGCAGTATTTTTGCAGAATGCACTGCACCCGAACGCAGGCACTAATGTGTCTGCGTTCCGGGTGTGGGGATTGCACTGCGGGCAGGGGGCGTGGCTGCGGTGCCATTGACTTCAATGCACTGCCTCGCCCCCTCTCACCCCTGAATGCAGGGAGCCGACCGGCGTGCGTTTCAGGGGCCGAACGCACTGGAACACTGACTTTGTAGTCTGAACCAGCCCTTAATGAGCTACCCGAAATGTGTTAGATTGGAAATGTGAAAAGGATCTATCTTCCAAGCTGGGTGGAAAGTCAGGATTTCCCATGACTGGGTCATAATTGAAACGGGGAGCTGTATAGCGTAAGCCCTGTGTGGTTTTAATCACCTGAATTGTGACACCAATTGTAGGATGAGTGAGAATTTCTTTGGGCAGGGGTGGTACAGTCCAGAGGAGTTATGACAAAGGCAAAGAGGAAGAAGCCTATTCCAGGTGTAACCAGCACTTATCTGAAGATGCATTGCACCACTGAAAGACCCTGGCCATATGGACTATCTGGTGATATTGAATGGGGTCTGGAAACCCTATACCACCTTGGGATTTAGGTAACTCCACTAGTTTTATTCAATCTGTGTGCACCACTTGACCACAGAAAGGAGGCAAATTTCCTCCGTACAGTTTTCAAATAAGACAGCAATATACGGACCGGAAGAGAGCAATCGCGGGAGTATGTTAATTTTCAAAGCGCTTTTCCTCCCAAACCAGGATAGTGTACCTTTTGACCACTTGGCCTAGTCCTGGCGATAGAAGATAGGAATGGCAGGAAATTAGAGGCGAAAATTCACTCAATGGATGGCGTAATCTTTGTCCCCAAATAAGTGAGATGCGTAGTTGACCAGCGGAACGGGAAGGCCATTGAAATCTAGACAAGTGATTTTGAGAGATGGGAAGGTTAAGGGCTTCTGATTTTCTGCAAATTAATTTGCAAATTCGAGAGGGCACTGTACTCATCCAAATTGTGCATCAGGTTTGGGAGAGATAGTAAAGGTTTGGAGATAATAAATAGTAAATCATCAGCATAACCGGCAATTTTATGGGAAAGGGGACCGTCTGAAAGGCCTATAATGTCAGGATGTGTGCGAATATGACAGAGTAGAGGTTCCAACGACAGAATAAATAGTGGAGAGAGGGGGCACCCCTGTCTTGTACCGTTCGCCAGGGAGAGATACTCAGAATAGGCCTCAGTAACTCTGGCCTTGGCAGTCGAGTGAGAATATCTATTGCTGCTATCCAATTACACGTATTTTCTCCCAAAGCATTATCTTCAGAAATGTCCACTTCACTCTGTCGGCCGCTTTTTCTGTGTCTGTAGACAACAGAATGTTGGGGATGCGCTTGGTCACATCTACAGTGGTGTTGTCTTTCACCTCTCTATGAGAGACAAAACCCACCTGGCCAATATGAATAAGCTTACCGATGACTTGCAGGAGGCGATTCGCTAAAATCTTTGAGAAAAGCTTTTAAGTCCACATTCAGCAAAGAAATGGGATCATAGCTTGTACAGGGTCTTTCCCCTCCTTTGGCATGACCATAATGGAAGCGCGTAGGCAATCAATTGGGAATGTGTGGCCGGAAAAAAAGAGAATTGAGTGGCAAGGAATTGAGATTGTAAAGAATATTGAAAAGTCTTGTAATAATAAAGAGGAATAAGACGCCAGACATCAATTACATGATCGGCAATTAGAACCTGCCGAAAACGACGCAAAAAAGAGTAAGAAAGGTGCGAGGTATTTTTGGAAACATCCAACCGTGGTTCTAGAGCAACATTGAAATCCTCACCCACAATAACCAGCCCCTCCACAAAGTCAGCCAGAGAGTTTGGGGCGTAAATGTTGGCAAATGTCACCAAAGAATCAAAAAAGGTGCCCTTTTAAAAACAAAAACAGAACCATGTGCGTCAGACATGTATGAGATATACTGCCATCCAGCGTTTGTGGCCAGAGGTATACTGACCCCACGTCACTTGTAATCAGGTGAAGAGCTGTGATACACGTAGGGGAACATGACATTTAAGAGTTTTTGAATGCAACCTGATCTAAAGTCTGTCTCCTGCAAAAAAAGCCACCTGTACTCGATGTCTCCACAAATCTCCAAGGACCCATAACCGCTTCTCAGGCAGGTTCAAGCCCTTCACATTCCACGACAAGAGCTTCATTGTCACGGCTCTCTCCGCATCCCCCCACTGCTGCTCAATGATACCGTAAGAAGGGAGGAAGACAGAGTGGGAAAATGGAGGGAGGGAGAGAAGAAATAAGCAACAAGCAAAGGAGAAAGCCAGAGATAGAAAGGGTGAGGGAACAGTAGGAGAAGGAAAAAGAACAATCCGTACACAGAGAAGAGGAAAATGAAGGAAGAAGTTAATGGAGAAAAACAAACAGAAAAAGCACTAAATTCTAAACCGCATCCAAGCGCGCACTGCGCAGGAGGAACCTACTGGGGGAAATGACAGGCAAGGAGGTGCAACGTGAAAATGCCAGTAATACCACCCCCCAAGCCCACCGGCTGGCCCATCCACCCAGGGGGATCCGGGGTGACAAGCAATAAACATCATCGTTTATATAACCCCAGACGAGGACATCTAGGCCACGGGGGAAACTAGACTCCATCTTCTGAGTGAGGCCCTACCCCAACAACGTTACCATCAAACGTCTCACGATTTTACCCCACAATGAAGCACTTAGACAGAGGTCAGGGTGAACCGCACATAGACATCCGGCAAGGCCACCCTTCAAATGCAGTAAACAATCATCCCACTATAGAGCGGAAAAAGGATTAAGACACAGTACCAAAGAGTGGGAATGTTACCATGTCACTATCTCCCCGCCCAACAGCGCCGCCTTCCCAAGGGTGTAAAACTAAGGTAACAGTATGGTGAACCAAAGAAGGAGCCGAGGTGGAGATGCCAACGCTAAACAATGAAACTGCAACACGATCAGGCTCCATGCAGTCAACGACCTTGTGAGAATAGGAAGCCGAACACAAATAACCAACAATAATTGAAAGAGAACCATGGGGTAAGTGTTTTTCCCCATAGTTCTCTTTTAGGGTCATACTAACCTCCTCCCGTGACCCAAAGCTCAGTATATCGTACAATATACTGAGAGCGCCGCAGCAGTGACGGATCCTGACAATACTGTCGAGATCCACCCAGCTGTATGAGTGACAGCTGGCCCTATCTAGAGGCAGAGCCAGCTGTGCCTGCCCCCACCCCCCTCCGTTCCTCCACTCGGTGCTGAAGGATCGGAGAGGGAAGAGGGGGGAATCCTTGCGGGGAGTGATGACTGACGGTCACCGCTCTCTGCAGGGAGATGATCGGAAAGTGAGCGACATGTGTTTGCTCAATTCCAGATCAATAGAGCGGACTTGAAACAGCTTCTTTGTCACAAGTAGGCTCTAACTATGAGGATGAGTGGAAATCACTCACCTCATAGTTCTTCTTTTAATAATAGTCCAGTCACCTGTAAGGGAGTAGTTCAGGGGACAAGGGGATGACACAGGGCCAAAAGTCAGTGCGGACAGGGGACATTACTGCCGGTAAACTCGCGGTTGTGAGTTGGTAGGGGTTATGTCCTTAAAATGGCAGATTTCTAACTTAATTTGGTTGCCTAGTGTCCATTTCTCCTAGAGGCAGTGGAATGACCCTACGTCTCGAATTATCCAGAGCTGTGTCCCTCAATGGACTCCGAGAAAAGGATTTTACGGTAAGAACAAAATCCTATTTTTACAGTGCAAAAAACAAAACACAGCCCCCTGCAGGAGGCGCTTGAATGCTCATAAAAGGCCAATCATGGATTTTGTGGATGGTCGGGTAGTAGACTTGCTTTCCAGCTTTACTATTAATGTGGATATTCTGTTGAAACAGATAGCCAAGGCTCAGGTCACATAGACTTGATATGCTATGATTTGTATACAAGTGTACCCGTGTGAGGAAAATTTGCATACACTGTGCATTACATTTCTGGTTTGTTATATATGTGTAAAAATATTTTGAATGGGAATGGTTACAAGCATTTGCAAAATCCTATATACTTTGTATGAGCCAGTGTATTTCTTTCCAGCCCAAATGTGGTTTTATCCCATCTTCTGCTTACACCACTAAGGAGATCAAGAAGAAGGTGTGTCGGTTTTGTATGCACCAACATCTAAAGGTGAGTGTCAAAAAAAAAATCTGCATTTCACTGCATGTTATTGATAGAACCACATCTACATTGTACACTATTCACTAATAGACTTTGCACTAATAATTTTTGTACTATAAAACTGATTTTTTTTTCACTTGTTTAAAATAACACCTAAAAAACATGGCTAAGATAGATTTGCTGTTGATGTAGATCATGATTAAGACTTAAGTGTTACTATTGACACATTATAAAGAGGATTAACTCAACACACAGCCATTAATGTCTAAACCGCTGGCAACAAAAGGGAGTGAAAATGTCCAAATTGGGCCCAATCATCCATTTTCCTTCCCCTGTGTCATGTGACTCGTTAGTGTTACAAGGGCTAAGGTGTGAATGGGAAGCAGGTGTGTTAAATTTGGTGTTATCGCTCTCTCTCATACTGGCCACTGGAAGGTCAATATGGCACCTCATGGCAAAGAACTCTCTGAGGATTCTGAAAAAAGGAATTGTTGCTCTACATAAAGATGGCCTAGGCCAGGGCTCAAAATTTCAAGTCCTGAGCTACTAGCCAGGCCTTTAAAAGTTACTCGCCACCAGTTGCCCCACCTAACCCCTACCCTGCCCCGGACTTAACTCCGCCAGGTCAGTAATGTAACACACAGCGCAGAGGTCAGTATTGTAACGCAGAGGTCAGAGTGACGCAGAGGTCAGAGTGACGCAGAGGTCAGAGTGACGCAGAGGTCAGAGTGACGCAGAGGTCAGAGTGACGCACAGCTCAGAGGTCAGAGTGTTGCACAGCGCAGAGTGACGCACAGCTCAGAGGTCAGAGTGACGCACAGCGCGATATTCTAATTATTTGAGTTTCACCTGTATATAAGTGTGTGTATATATATACACACACTTACCTCCACAGCCTATTCTTCCCTGGCCTCCAGCTGTCTAAACCCCACTGACATTATTATCACGTCCTATGCTGGCCTTGCATTAGACATGAGGACACCAAGTGACATGCCAGAGCGGAGGGAGAGAGAGGTGAGGACTGACTGCCACGGGGCTGAGGATCAGGTGATATATCTACTGTATTCCGGCCCCTAGGCCAAAAGGAGCAGTTAACCCTAGAAGTGCAAGAGCAGCCTGCTGCAGGGGTTATTTTTTAATAATAACTGGAGTTCTTCTTTAATTTTGAGCTTGCCCATCTTCACAAGCTTAAAACTCACATTTTCTGTACTAGAGATGTGATATGACAGTTGCAATTTTCTATGTATTATAGGTTTCAAAAGGAAAATGGAAGAGGATTAGCAAATACTGCCCACTGGATCTCTTCTCTGGGTATGTGCTTACTGCTTATCTTCTACTTACACCTTTGCTTAAAGTATAAAAGTGTAAAATATTCTTCATATCCGTATAAAATCCGTATATATCCGTATAGAAATTAGTCTAAGCAGAGCCTAACGATGGGTTTCTAAAACAGTGGCTCACTCACTTTTTGCTTTTTGTGGTACATCCCAGAGATGCATCCAGTTGTTACATCAGTTATGTATAGATTTAAAATGCTCTGGTTTTTTTCTCTGCGTCTCATTATTTAAAGGACAAAGGGGATTCTTCACATGCATGCATTGCCCAGCCTAGTCCCCACTTCTCTGGATATTGCTCTTTTCCTGTAGCGGCAGCTCCTGGTAGGAGGTTGTAAGGTGTCCTAGTAAAGGATGAAGGGGTACTTGGTGCCAAGAAGTGAAAGCTAAGAGGGGTCAGAGTTGTGGGGTGAATAGAGGCCCAAGATCAACTAAATTGGTGGGAGCAGGAGGTTCCAGGGGGATGAAAACAGCAATGAAGAGACTGTTTATGGTGATGAGGTGGTAGGGGCAGGAAGTATTGCTCTGTATGAAAATATATAATACATGTACAATATGCATAAATTATGTTTCTCTTTCGCTCTTTGAAGGACAAATCAGAGATCATGATCTCTGTACTGATGGGTTATACCGCCACTTGCAGGAGTAGGATGCTAGGCACAAAAAGCTTGTCTCTGGAGGTGGCTCCTGCCGGTGGCCACACCTCCATCCAAGGCAGCTCAGTTTTTTTGCCTAGCGCCAAAGTGTAAGGACCTATCTCCCTGCTCCAGGGAAACCTGGCTCCAGGAATCTGACTCTGCCACCCTGCTACCCTCTCCCATGCTGGCCTACATTGGATGCACTCACCAAGACCCAGTGGACGGAAAGCAGGTGGAGTGGGAATCCTTCAATCCCCACAATGCACTTTTCAAGTTCTGCCTTCACCTCTGTCTCTATCCCTTTCCTCTTTTGAAACCCACTGTATTCGCCTATTCTCTCCAATTTCTCTGAGGATTGCTGTGATATACCGGCCACTTGAACCGATATCTCGCTTTCTGGTTAACTTCTCGGCCTGGCTACCCTACTTTCTCTCTTCAGAAATACCCACTATTATTCTTGGTGACTTTAACATTGCTAATAACATTAATAACCCGGCTTCCACTCAATTTCTTAACTTAACCTCTTCTTTTGATCTAACATGACACACACTCCTACTTACTCTAAAGGTAACATACTTGATCTTGTGTTCTCTCCCCTATGCAGTCCTTGCAAACTCTCAAACACCCCTTTCCCCCCTCTCAGACCACAACCTTGTCAGTTTCACACTCACCCTGTCCCCAACCCTGAATCCCCCTACACGGCACACTGTCACCCAGAGAAACCTCCGCCACCTCAACCGTTCTCTTCTCTACTCTGCTACTGACTACCTCTATGACAAAATCTCACCCCTGACCTGACCTGGCTACTACTGTCTTCAACAGTTCGATCTCATCCTCCCTAGACACCTTGGCTCCCCTCACTACAGACAGACCTATGCCGCATCCACTACAACCATGGCAAACAGATCACATTTGTTACTTCCCTCTTTTGATTCGGTCACCACAGAGGAGGTTACAAAGCTTCTCTCTGACACCCACCTCACCACTTGCCCCCTGGACCCTGCTCCCTCACCACTACTTCGGTCACCCTTGCGCTCTATCTTACACTCTCTTAGTCACAATTTCAATCTTTCCCTCTCTGCTGGCAACATTCCTTCCCCTCTGAAGCATGCGCTGTTCACTCCAATACCCCCCAAAAAACATTGGACCCAACCAACTTCTATAATCTCAGACCTATCTCCTTACTCTCCAAACTACCAGAACACCTTATCTACAACCGTCTGAGCCGCCACCTCGCTAACCACCACCTTCTGGACCCCTTACAGTCTGACGTTTGCCCCGTACACTCCACTGAACCAATGACCACTACTCCTTACTCTTATCATTAGATCGTTCTGCTGCTTTTGACACTGTTGACCACCTGCTCCTCCTCAAAAAAAAACTCCACTCGCTTGGCCTACAAGACTCTGCACTCTCATGGTTCTCCTACCTAGCTTAGTGCTCCTTTAGGCCCCGTTCACATATAGCGAATTGTCGCGCAATTTCCGCCGCGATATCGCGCATTTTTGCAGCGCGATATCGCGAGAAGTCGCCGGCCAATGCTATTCAATGGAGCTGTCTTAACTCCATGTCGCTCGTCGCGGTCGCAAGTCGCTTCTACCGGACCCTTTTTTCGGCGGATTTTGCGCGATTTTGCTTTTTTTCTATGGAGCCCGACGGAGAAGGTCGCGCTACCGTGGCTGGAACGTCGCCCCGAAAGTCGCGCTATCCCGGCCGCTGACAAGGTATGTCGCTATATGTGAACGGGGTCTTAGTGTCACCTACAAATCTAACTTCTCTTTCTGTAGGGGTCCCCCAAGGCTCTATCCTTGGACCCCTTCTTTTTTCTATCTACACCACCTCTCTTAGACAGTTAATAACCTCACATGGCTTCCAATAACATCTCTATGCCGATGACACTCAAATATATCTTTCTACTGCACAACTCACCCCCACAGTGTCCTTCCGTGTCACTAATCTACTAACTGACATATCTGTCTGGATGTCCCAACTCTTCTTAAAACTGAGCTCATGATATTTCCTCCTGCCCATGCACCTTCCCCCAACTTTTCCCTTGAGATTGATAACACAACTATCCATCCCTCCCCCATGCCAAGGTGCTAGGTGTCATCCTGGACTCGGACTTCGCCTTTCTGCCCCACATCCAATCTCTTTGCAAATCCTTCACCTTCGTAAAATCTCCAAAATACGACCCTTCCTCACCAATGAAACCACTGAGCTATTCATCCACTCCCTTGTTATCTCTCGTCTTGACTATTGCAACTCCCTACTCATTGGCCTACCTCTACACAGACTAGACTCCTCCACTTATCCAACTCTTCAGTGTCTACAACCCCCCTCTGCCAATCCCTGCACTGGCTTCCACTCGCCCATTAGATACAATTCAAAATATTAAACACTTACAAAGCTATCCACAACTCTGCCCCCGGCTATATCTCAAACCTGGTCTCAAAGTATCACCCTAACTGTCCCCTTCACTCTTCCAAAGACCTTCTGCTTTCTAGCTCCCTCGTCAACTCCTCCCATGCTCGCCTCCAGGATTTCTCTAGAGTCTTTCACATCTTCAGGAATTCTTTACCCTATCCTGTCCGTCAGTCTCCCACTCTGACTGCCTTTAGGCAATACCCATCTCTTCAGGGAAGCCTATCTCTTCAAGGAAGCTTATCCCACCTCTAACTAACCACTGAAACATCACGTTCTTAAAAAGTCCATCCCCACACAGCTACCTCCTCATGTACCACTTGCCCTTCTATTTTAGATTGTAATCCCTTATTGGCAGGGCCCTCCTTATGATCTTATCTTGAAATGTATTGTAATGTCTTCCTTATATTGTAAAGCTCTGCGCAAACTGTTGGCGCTCTATAAATCTTGTATAATAATAATAAGGATCTTTGTTCCTATTTTTTGTCCTTTAGCATTGTATTATTTTTTATTTTTCCTTTTCACTTTTCGTTAATCTTCAATCAGGAGCCGAGCTGGGGGACAGGCTGGATAATATAGATCATTGTAGTCTCCCCAGCTTAGTCATCTAGCTCATGCAGTTCTCTGCCTGAGAGAGTGAGATCGGCTGCAACAGCCCTGAAGAAATTTGGGGCAGCCTGTGAGGTACCTCACGGGAAGATGCATATGACTGACCGGCCACTGGGGTGGTTTGTCACAGTAGTGGTGTTAGCCCCAGGCTAACAGGGTCCGCTCTTGGTGGGAGGCATTCTGTTTGGGAAATCGTGTTCTGGCGTACATTTATTTCTACACTTAATGGTGTCTGTGGGGAGTAATATTTGCGCACTTTTCACCGTCATTTATTTGTGGGGTATGGCTGGCAGAGAAGTAACAGCTGCCTCCATCCCATTTCTCTGACAGTTTTTCCAGTTACCACCACCTGCCGGAGTAGGACGCTAGGCAGAAAAACAACAAAGCACAGCCCTGGGGGCGGCCCCTGTTGGTGGCTCAACCCCACACTTATTAGAGACAACTCAGTTTTTTGCCTAACATCGAGGAGTATGGACCTAGCTCCCTGCTGGGGATCTTTGTACTTTTTCTTCTATTTTTTTCTTGATCTTCAATCAGCAGCTCAACTGGGTGACAGGCTGGATAATATAGATCTTTGTAGCCTCCTCAGCTCAGCCTCCCAGCGTATGCAGATCCCAGCTTTGAGGTGGATTTGGCTGCGACAGACCATCCTGGGCAGCCTGTGAGATACTGTACAGGGGGGGGGATACATATGACCGACTGGCCGAGGGCTGTTTTGTCACGGTGTCCCCCTTGGCTATCAACTAGATGGGGAGAGGCACCATGGTCGTCTCCCTATAACAGCACCCAGCCGGGGAGAGAGTAACACTTACCACTCCAGGTAGAGTACAGAGTACCATCTCTCACAACAGATCTCCTCCCATCGAAGTGGGGGCTGACCCGGGTGCCTCTCCTCATCTAGTGCCCTTTTAGCTGGCTAAAGATTGGTCCCTTTTTTCCTCGGGTTCTCTTCTGCCATGTCTGACATAAGTCTTGCAATGGTTGTAAGGTGTATGGCCTGTCTGCAGCTGCGGACCGAGATAATGTCTCAGTGCCTGGCGGGCTCGGCACGTGGAGCTGCGAACCCGCCCGAGCTCATCACTAGTGTGGCTGTCTCTGTGGTTGGAGGGACTGGATGTCATGTTGCAGGTGGCTCTGTGGGGTCGGGTGCAGCTTCAGGCTGCATTGTCTGTGGGGAGGGGCTGCTCCTTCCTCTCTTTTGGGGTCTGCCTGTTCCTGTATTTTCCTGGCAGTTCTACAATCTTTCCTGTCCCTCTCAAGGTCTGCTTCAAGGGTCTTTGGGGTCCCAGGACGTCTGTCCCTATGATGG